TGCCAGGGAGTGTTACCCAACCTGCTGTTCTCACCTGTGTATCAGGGGTTCACACAAGTGGAGTTCACCACTGGGCTTTGATCCTCCCCACAGCAGGGCAGGAATCTCAACCACGTTCAATAGAGTGCCTCCGAGTCCATCACAGGTCTATGCTCTCCAGGCACAAATGTTCTACTTGCCAAACACACACGACTAAACAACAACTAGTATGCTATGGGTCTTTCTACAGCCCAGCTGCAAGTCACTTGAGCACGTTTATAATCCTCTTTGCCAATCTTCCATTATTTTCCACACACAGACACCTGTCTAGAAGCAGGGGAGGTAAGAAATAGTAACCTCATCTTTCCCCAAACTTCTCCAAGCGTTATGATGATATCTCAAGACGTCACAGAGCATGACGATCTCTGGCCCTCCTCTGTACATATCCCCTTCTGCTATGAAAGGGTCTGTAGTAGAGACTGGCATCCACGTGGTTAGTAGCAGTACCCTTTCTCAACCACAGAGGGTCTAAAGAGAAATAGATTGCCTGCAACTCAATCACTGTCTCCAGAGCAAGACTGCTAGAAGATTCAGTAGCACTGAAGGTTCAAGAGCAGGACTGAGAGAAGAGAACACGACCCAGGGAGGCCATGCCACAGACATTGATAATTTCACGCAAGATATACGTGCAAATCAATTTTCTGCATTTGTCTGCACTGAGGTGGGATCCTCCCTGGGAAGGATTTAATTTAATGTCCCATCTGCACCTAGTTCCTACATGCTTATGCCCTCACCAGCTGAAGGACTGTACTGGCCAAAGCACTGGTTTATATCATCAATTGAAAGGACTTGGCTTCTCCATATGTTTTTCCAATGAGACCCACACAGAGCAATTCCTCTTAGCATCAACCCTATCATTGAATTTGATTACCTGCTGGTTTAATTTGGTGAATTGTTAATTTGAATTCTCTGATTTATGGATTCAGTTTTAATAGCAGCCTTTGATTGCTGCATTATTCCATTCTGGTAGTTTAGTGAAATTGTACTGGATTAGTTTAGCAATATGCCTATTTCATTTTATATTTATTTGCTCATCTTTTTAATAAAACCTGTAAGTACATAGGACTGGTTATTTTATCAAAGCATAGCCTGCTTCATAAATCCAAAGCTATGCACAATTTAAACTGGGTTATTAAAAATACTGAACTAAAATTAGACATGACAAAAGCTTGGAAGAAATACTGGCCTCCTCTCCTCCTTCTGCCCTTTCCACATACGCTTTCACTGTCTCCTCCCCATCACTCCCCAGTAGCTTGTGCAGCTGGGAATATAACCTGCCACAGGTCCACACAATATATGTCAACATACATACACACTATTTAAACACTGTGTAGCTGACCATACCCTATCATTGCCATGGCCCCACAGGTCCCCCATCCCTGAAGCTGCAGTAGCAGCTCACCACTCCCCATGGCAATCCTGGGGTCACTGAAAAACTCCAGGACACCCCTACACCTGCTATGGTGAACAGAATGGCACTGAGAAGAGGCACTGAGCATCTGCATTTCCAGCTACCTCAGTTTAAATAGATTTTTTTAGCCCAGCTTGTTCCTATTTGAGATAGAGGGGAAAAGACTTGAAGGAAAAAAACATAGTAAGCATGCCTCTGTCTTTAGCTTTCTCTAAACAGAAAAATTGTGTTTTGATCTGCTCGTTTTACAGGTAGCAGCTGAAGAAATATGAGCTCTACTACAGCAATTACTTCATGGACAGATGATGCTACTGGAAGGACTGCCAGGAAGGCACCTGAAACATGAAGCATTCTCTAAAAGTCTGACTTAGAACAGGTCTGTACTCAGAGACCTGTGCAAACATGAAACTCTGTGAAACTTAATGGGAAACGCTACACTTCGTAACCATTCATTGCTATGACAAACCACAGCGGTCGCTCACAACTGCACATTATCACAGGTGATAATTCACTCCAGCCACTTCTACAGTGACACACTTGTAATTCTTATCTAAATGTTTAATTCCTTCCTACTTGAGATGAGCCGCGTATCTCATTAGCACATCTAGGAATCTTCCCTTCAGCCACAAGTGTCAAGCCAATGCCAGCTTGTACCATCAGAGTCCACAGGTTTTATTCAGAGAGCAGGAACCAGGAGTGTCTCGCAGGGAGCTGAAGTTAGAGCCAGGACTCCCAGGCTCCCTTATTTCCTCAGAGCCACTCGCAACTCACGCAGCAGTGAAACTCTCACTCACACCTACTCGACTGTAGCTACCTGGGTCCCATTGGCACTACCCGAGGGAAAGCACAGGTCTACAAATAACACCACCTGTGATCATCAGAACTCTGCAGAAGCATAGAGAACAGCACTCCTTGTACGGGGGAAAACATCTGGATTTATATCAGTTGTTTCTTCCCAGTTAGGGACAAATCCCTTTTGCTCTGCATTTGGGAGAAACTTCCATTCTATTCTGCTTGGTGGGTTTCCAAAAAGCCCTGAAGTTGTCAGTTATCTGACTTGCTCGTTTCCCTGTTCCCCCCAACATGATCTTGCATTTTATTTTTGTAATTATAGGCTTTAAAATAGTAAGACACAATGCTCTACAAAGCAGGGAAGATATTCTTGGAGCACTTTAAAAAAAAGTGTGTAAAACTCATGCCATGCTGATGGATGTGGTTTGACTAACCTAGAGGCATGATGGAAAAAGTAAATGCAGATCCCAAAATGCAGGGGTGGAGTGGAAGAATGGGAAATGGTGACTTGATTTGCCAAAGTGTTTCTGTTAAAGAATATTAATCTTTCAGACAATCCATGAAAAGGCCCTGTAGCAATATCATATTAAATTAATAGAGTCTCATCATTATGGTAACCTCAGCTCAGTTTTATAAGACGTATAGTGTCATCATAACCAAAGAAGAGTCCCCAGATAATTCTGCTCCTATAGCAATCACTACTAAATGACACTGAAGTGACAATCGTTAGCTATGCAGCATTTTGGGTCCTGTCTGTCTCAAGTGGGGCTTTCTGCCTGCAGTGCAGCTGTCCAGCTGGAGCCTTATAAGATGTATAATGCTCATTGGGAACCAAAATCTTCCCCGTCACCAGAAAACATATAATTCTGAGCTGGCTATCACATACAGCCAGACTATCAATTATACAGACAGTGTTTACCAACAGTTCTGTTCATCATACAGTTCCTCAGGTGTTAGCATGGATTGTCAGAGTGGACGCTCTGGTACCTGCTGTGGTGCTACCACTCCATGTAGCCAGGTAACGTAGCCATCCTAATCCTCAGGGGGATCATGTAGATCTTACCCCTAAACCAGGAAAATTATTACTCCAAAAAGGAAAGACCACAACAGTCAGGGAAATTATATATATGTTACAGAAAGCAAAATAAGAAAGCAATCCTAGCCTTTATACAACGTAAGTCTTTATCTTTCTTCTCATGGGACTTTGCTCTCATTCTTTAGTTCTGCAACACAAACAGTCCACATTTCTTTTCACCTTCCCTCTCTCCAAAATCCACAGGACATCTGAATAATATGAATTTGTGCCAGTGGCTTTTCATTTAGTATTGCTACAAGTTACATCAGCAATCTCAGGAAGCTAGATGGCAGCTTAAAATATCCAACAGTGAAATAAATAAGCAGGGAATGAGCAGAGTTTGATAATGGCCGACGGCAGAACAGACGTTTCTCAGCCAGATGACCCTCTTCCACTAGGCCATGTGCAAGACGGTGGCAAAACTACCAAAAGCCTTCTGTAAGATTTCCCTCCTATCCTGTATTTTTAGCCAGACAGAAGCATCGAGATAATTATGGTGCTGCAATCTGTTCGTGAAGGATTCCAACCTAAATTGTAGCTTCCAGGAATTCAGTTTCTACTCATGTTATTTGAATTCAGGGGATCAAATGTGACCCTTGCAGTGTGAAGCTCAGAAGGGCTGAGAAGCGACTCCAGCATCCAGAGCACAGAGGTACTTCAGCGTCCCCAGCACTCACCGTAGCCCTGCCAGATAGCCATACAGCATGCTGGAAACTACCTGAAAAACCTTCAGATACAGGCTCGAGGTGGGGGTGGGTGGGTGTATAGAGTTACCAACCATCTCTAAACATGCTACTGCACCTCCTGAAAGATGCAAGATCAGCTGCAACATGCCTGAGAGGGCACAAAGCAACCCCTGCCGCAGCCAAGGGGACGGTTAGTACAGGGCACCTTTGCAACTGGATATAGCTCAGCTGAACACCAGACACATTGTCTCCAGGAGGCTTGTGGCTGGTTTTCACGTCCTCACTCCACACAAAGAGCTTTAATCCCTCCCTAGCATAGGCATAAAAAGAATGAGTTTGTCCAAAATAAGTAATCAAGAGGGAGAGTTATTTGGTAATTTGCATCATTATCTCTGCCCGCTGCTGCATCTTTGCTGACAGCTTATTTTTAAGCACTGAAATCCAGCTTAGGAATCTTTCAAAACAGAGCAGCACTCTTGTTGCTACTTGGTCTTCAGGCTACGCACAAAGGAAAAAAGAAATGTACGTGCAAGCACTGGGGGTCACCGTCCTATTTCCAACCCAGCAAGCTTGGAGCAGCACCATGAACACACTGCATCTCTGCTTCCCGAAAGCGAGAGCCTTTTCCAGGTCATGTCTCAAATTTAATCAACATCAAAGTATTTCTAGAAGCTGAGGGCAAGCCAGCATGCTCACTAGTTGAGGGAATATAGACTTCCTAGCAGTTAAGCTACATCAGAAGGATTCAGGATCCAGCATCCGATCCAGGATATACCACACTGGCTTTGCACTATGAGGTGTTCCCATACACACATACTGGAATATTGCATTTTATTCCATTACCAGTGGCCTTCCCCTTGCCAAAGGTAAGGCATGAGCAACACACAGCTGCGCTTACTGACTCCCAAGGTTGGGACACCTAAGCAAGCAAGAAGGTTTCTCCTTCCCTCCAAACACAACCCAGGAATAAATAAACACCAAACAAAGCAGGACTCACTTTTTCATGGAGGTCTGTTCTGTGCCAGCAGCCTCAAAGCAACAGGAAAGCTTCGCTTCTTTTCTCCCCTTCACGCACTCCTTCCTCCTGCAACCAGCATTCCCATCCCATGGCTGCACAACTCCACCAGCAGCACAGCTTTCACACAGTGCTCAACCTTCATCAGCCACAACCCAAATGCTCCTCTCTCCCCTGGCAGACTGGGTTCCTCGTTACTGCCAGCACCAGGTGATTTCACTAATTGCCTCCCCCCAGCAGACAGGCCCAGCCCCCACACAGGTACAGCTGGGTGCCCGGGCCTTGACAAGGGGGAAGGTGTTCACCTGGCACTGTCTCATCTGAGAAAACAGGGCCCCTTGAGCCTGCTCACATTTTTATCCTTTAACAACAATTGGAAGCCACCGAGCTTCTCAGATGAAAGGCTCTCCTCTAAGTGCAAATTATTATTAATGAATTTCCATCCTGGCTCCTTGACAGAAAAATGTACCTTGCAGCGTGTTATCTTTGCAACCATGCACCCCTGGCACCCAGAGATTCCCTCATCTGGCAAGTACGGCACATTGCCAAGAGAGATGTTCAGAGCAGCTCTCTGTGCCCGATCCCAGTGCCTTTGTAACTGCAGCACAGCAAAGCTTAAGAAATGTAAATCCTGGCATTTGACCCAATGTGAATTTCTCAAATAAATGATATTTCACAGCCCGGTGGTTTCCTCCCTGCTGAGATGATCATTTACGGTGGCTCACTCAGAATTGGGCTTTGACAGAATTTTTGGTCAGTGGAAGATAAATTGAAAAATTTCAGTATCTGCCTGTCTCTGAAGCACTATGTTCTGTAGCTTCAGAAAAATTAAATGCGAAGGCAGGGCTGAGTTTTTCCTTGTTTTTAATTCCCTCTGTTGTCTCTTCAAACAGGGCCTGTCTTCCTTAGCAAAGACCATGCAATTTTGAAGACACGCTCCTGTTCATCCATGAGTTACAGGAGTCAAAATCAATGGTCTCTTCTAAGCTTCCTCTGGGCTTAAGACCTACAAAGAGCACAAAAAAGCACAGTGCCAGGATTTCCAGGAAAGCAATCAAGCACCTCTACAGCTCAGCCAGACCAGACCTAGACAGCAGGTAGGTACAGCAGCAGGAGACACTCTCCCTGCTTTGTTTGAGGGAACATCCTGAAGAGCCAGGCTGGCGGGGCCTAGTAAAGGAAATACCACGACACATGAAACAGTTCCTGCTCCTGAGGAAGACAGCAGGCTGTGCTAGGAGAGGCATTGCCCCCATCCCACCCAAGTCTCCAGAGTACTCCTGGTAGCCTTATCTCTTCCAACTTTCATGGCAGGGGCAATCAAACCCCTCATTTTGGGAAGCACACAAATTCAGTTTATCATGTGGCAAAGCAGCTTTAAAACTCTGCCCAAACAGTCAGGGACTTCTCATATATATTAAATCAAAAGTCCAGGCTCCTGGCTGCTGCCAATTAACATGGCTCTACCAGATGGCTTCAATAGAGACACAAAGATTTACAGCAGGTGTGGATCTAGACAGAAATGCTGTAGCTGTGACTAACAGAATAGTTGGAGCAGGGCCTTGGGAGTGGAGAGTGTTCCCAAGTCCTCCCTCGCAACCACCACAGGCCTTGCATCATGAGCCCCTGTTGTTAAACACGTCATACCCTCTCTGAACACATTTTCCACATTCTGACTACTGTAATATATGGTACGGAACCTGGAGCAGTGGTTCTTCTTCTTCACTATAGTACGATGTCACGTTACGATAGGCAGTACGTCAGGTGGCTTCCTCTTACAGCTTTAAAACCCCACCATGTTGGCAATGTGGAGATTAGCTGAAGTCCATTAGTTGATAACTCAGGAACTAAAAGACATCAATAATAGGCATGTGTTAGTAAAAAAACATCAGAGAAAACCATTTTATGTGCTTCAGGGATGTGATGTTGCCATTTAATTTGCTTTGGAAACATGGCTGCACTGACTGCCCCCGAGTCCTGCTAAAGAACCTGCTGCTTAAGCCTCTCCTTCTGGCCATGTGTGCGCTCAAGTTGGCAGTTGTACGTTATTATCAGCATTTGCAAAGTGATTATTATGGCACAGACAAGATAAAGACTAAGTCAGAACTGTAACAAATGTCCATGGTAATCTGCAGCGTGCGTAAAATGCCGTATGTGTTTGTGAATGGCAAGTGTCCAACCCAGTGCTAGAGGCTGCAGTCAATGGACTCTACGTGTGCAAGCCTCTCAAACCACTCACTTCAGAGGGACTCTGCAGCCATTATTTATTCTAATTTAAATATAATGACAAAATACTGTCACTGAGAAGTGACACATGGCTAATCGTCAATGAAATCTTGCCACAATGATCGCCGCTGTATATTAAAATTAATTTTTCCAAAAGGCAGTCATTTCAAACAAACTGCCTAAGTCTGAATCAACAGACAACATAGAACTATACTTGCAGTCAATAAATAAAAAGCAAAAAATGGTGACTATTTCAATGAATATTGAAACAATGAATAAGCTATAACTTTCCTATTCACAACAGAAGAGTTCTTCTCCTCCTTGGGAATGTTGAATCCAATCTGAGTTGCATTAGTTACATAGCTGTTTTTGAAAAGGAATTGCAAAATAGTTTCTCATGGGAAACTTCGACTTTTCCATCCTTTTAATTTCAATGAAGACACATTTTAATTTCTTGAATAAAGCACTTGAGCTGTTGAAGAGGAGGTGAATTAGGAATGTTTTCATTCACTGTGGAATACTTTCCCTCGACAATGCGGTGAGACAGCAAGACCAAGGAAGACATACACACGTCATTGTGAAAATACAGAGCAAAATGAATTCTGCTCATAAGGTTTTCTCTCAGTAGCCAACTGTTTATGTTAGATACTCTTTCCTCTTCTGATCCTATAAAGCCTCAGCAAAGAGCAAAGTCAGGGTGCATGGACTAGAAACAGTGATTTAGTAATTAGCCCTTTCCCCTCCAGCCAGTGCTGTACCAGTACTCGTGTTCAGGAGCACTGGGTTACTGGAGATGCCATTCTTCATACTTGCTGTAACAGGGGCTAGTCAGCACAGTAACAGCCTTCTTAAAAATGCAATTTGAACAATAATATTCTGTGCTACCATGGTGTATATTTTGCTCCATACTATCTTTCTTGTTCCTCCACTGTTGTGTTTTGCAGTTCTGTGCTGTAAATGCCTTTTTCACCTCAGAGACACCTGTGTTTTCCCAGGAAGATATACTGATCCCTGAGGTGTGGCTGATGCATCACTGTGCTTAGCTTGTAAAGTAGCTTGGGGTCCTTTGGGATACAGGGTGCTTTGTATATGTCAGTTGTGATTCAGTGAAACTTGCTTCCATCTGAACCTACTGTATCAATCAGAGAAGCAACATAATTAATTATGACTGGGCTGCACACATCAGAAGCAAGAGTCCTGGAGTTGTTCATGCTGATGATAGGCATGAAGATGAACAAGATGAATAGTGACATGGCCATGAACTGTGCCTGACTGCTGTCTTCTCCTGCCATCCATCATCATCCCCACATGTTGGGTGGGAAGGGGAAGCAGTTCACAAAAGAAGGGTCAGAGCAGTGAAAAACTTTCATACATCTCTATTCTCCTCTCTTCAGAAAGCAGCTTACATTTTGTTGCAGCTGTTAGGCAGTGGATGCAGTACTTCAACACAGAATCCACAGGAGCCCCCTCCCCATAGAAAAAAAAGAGGTTATTTTGTCAAGCCATGTAAAGCATTTTAATTACAATTTGTATAACATGTATAAATAAATATTACATTCTTTCAGTCTACAATGTATACTAGGCATATCTTGTTAAAACGTCCATCTATGTTACTGGGTGGCAGGATTGATTTTTGTCCAAGCAAAAAAACCAAACTACTGAGTTTAGTAATAAAAAAAAAAAAAGAAATACACAGGTAAAGACAGGACAATGTAAGTGCTTCCAGCTAACAGTCAGGACATAATACTGTTTTCCAAAAGGCTGGATATACCATCTTCCTTGCAGTTACGAAAGGTTTTGGATGACAGTGGTTTGCTCATTGTATAGATTTTGATCTGCATCCTCCATTCATGTAAACTGGCACTGAGTCAACACAGTTCTTCCAGTTTACACAATGAATCCATGACTCTGGTTTGTATTCGCTTCAGATTAATTATTGGTTTTGTATTTTTTATTCAAAACATCAGCTCTACATCTAATCTAAAATTTTCAGTCTTAGCTGGTCCAATGGCAAAAAAAAAAAAAAAAAAAAGTATTTTATTGCAGTGTATTACAGGTCAGAGAACTACTTAACTATGATGCTTTAACTAAAAGAAGTTACAATCTTATTGAAGTCACAGAAAAAAATATATATAGCTAAATTTATCGTTTGTAATAAGCAAACTCCAATGTGATACTAAGTCATTTCTGAAATAAAAATAGTTCCATAGATTAGGTTTTCAACTACTCCAAGTAATTGCCCCAAGAAAATGTCTACTTTTTGCAACGTTTCATTAGTGCAAGGAAATGTAAGTAGAACAACCAAGATCTCTAAGGTTTAACTTCAAAACCGCTACATCAATCATCATGATACTTAAATTTAGACACATACATACCCAGGAACATATGCATTAACTACTTCATACACATTCTAATTGTCTAGGAGACAATTCAATTTACACGTGACCAAGCAGAGAGATTCTTTTGATAGATTTATTTCACAGAAAAATAAAACTATAAAACTATATTAACACAAGCAACTTTTGCAGTCACAAATGAAAAAAAAAAAAAAAAAAAAATCTATAAAATAGCTCCAGATATTTCTTGATCTTGTTTCAACAATATTTCCCTCCCTCCCAACAGTCTGTCCAGAGGCCAGCTCTTCCACTACAAGGAAATAAAAGCGTGGGGACAATCAATGTCTTTCTGTCCATTCTTCTCGTAGCTTTCTGAGCTTGATGAGAGCTGGTGACATTAGAATAAACAGAAAATTATTGAATGAAATTATGAACTAAAAAAACCCCCAAATCCAGGCTCTACACATTTGGCCTGTGATGGTCTCAGTTCCAGGTACAGTGAAAATGCACCAGTGGGGCACCCCCATCGGTTGTTATTTCTAAAAGCTAACATAAAACAGCACCTTCTTCCCTTAGTGAAAGATGGGAACTTTGGTTGTGGAAATGTCAAACAAACAGCTAAATAAACAATCCAAACCTGAAAGTAAAATGAATACTTCTTCCAAACAGAACATATTTCTAGCTAGGGTGAAACAACGGAGGCTTAGGCTTTCAGAAGAGACACCACATGGAAATTATTAGTCAATACTTATCCCCTGAATTCTTTAAATGACAGGAGATTATTTATAGCTAACTTACAAACAAAATGTTCTTGGTCCACTGTGAACTTAGTGAATTGAAAAATTTCCTGGCTTTAAGATATTTAAAAGAAAAATGAAAGGGAAAATTATTCCGTTTCAACTTACAAAGTTGACACAGGACAAACAGAAAAGTAAAAATAAAAATACCAGGTAATTTCCTCCTTCTCCATATGTAATGCCAAAGACACATCTTCATTTCAAATGAAGGGATAAAAAGAAACAGCTTGAGTAACAATCTAAAAAATCACCTTGTGGGTCATATGTCCATAATTGTGATGTTTTATTAGAAACACAGATAAGTTATTGTTTGTCTCCTGCTTATTCTTTTCATGCTCCTATATTCTCTCTTTTCTTTTTACAAATATTTTTGGTACTTTGAAATACTACTATCATTATTATTTGTATGACCCATAAAACAAATTTTCACAACCTCATCTTGCCCAGTTCATCATAATGGTCATACCATTTCCTTGTTCCTTTCTGCTATTTATATTCCACTTTCTAAATCCATGAGTAGCTGAATAACTGCTGGAAAAACAAAACAAAGTGAAAAACAAAAATAAACCATCGACAGTTTGGCAAATTTCTTTCCCTGATTATAAAAACTGCCTCATCATTTCTCCTGGTGGTTCCTTCCCCTCCCCCTCTTCTGTCCCAATATATACTGTAGAACTGAAGGCATCAAGGTGTGGTTAAACCCAAAAAACCAGCAAGGAGCTACACTTTGTCTTTGAACTTTTCCATGTAGTTTCGTATCTCTTTGGAGTCCCCCAGGTCCATATCCTGGCACACCCACTTAATGTCATCGTCATTGCTACTTAGGATTGAGTTGACAGTAGGACAACCATCGTCGGGTGGGATGGTAGTGAATGTCGTGAATTTTACCCGCTTCCGTTTAGATGTCGGTGAATGTAAAGGTTCAGATTTCTGTTCCTTTCCAAGCTTGCCCCCTGAGTCAGCACACCTGTGAACCTGGCTCTGAATATTCTTCTGAGCACTGCCATCGAGAAGCTGGTTGCTCTCCTCACAACCCGACCCTCGGTCAATAATCGTTGTGTGCTCATCCTGCTGAGGTGATCCATCTGCTGTGTTCTCCAGAAGTTCTGCTTCATTTCCCAGCCAGACCCAGTCATGAGAATGGGTCATGGTGGCCTGTCCTTCCACCAGAACCTGTTTGTGACGATACTTCAGTGCAAATGTTGCACAGTTTATAAGGAAGACTAGAATTGCCAGGCAGAAGACCCCTAGCAGAGCGTACATCCCGATCTCCAAATCGCTAAGGCCCCTAGGTGTCTGTACCAGGTCATTTTCCTCCATACCCGCGTTGCCTTTTGGGAGGTCTACTTGAGCAGGGAAGTTGGTGAAGTCTATAGGAATGTTCTGCAGCTGGCTATCGTCTGAGATTTTGCCACCATCCAGCCTATTGTTTTTAATTACTTTATTTTTTATTACGGATTTTGCTGTTGTGCTGACTTTCCTGATGGCGCCTTCCTCTCGCTCTGCTGAAGAGCTACCATAGTATCGTCCATCCTGGCCATACCGTTCCTGATCCGACACTTTGTGCCGCCGGTCACTAGCGTGGTTTTCAATCTCATCAGCATCATAATCTCCACCTGTATCAGAGTCTGCATCGTTCTGGCCAAACTTGACTTTGATGTTGCCATTCCCCACAGCCAGGACACTTTTCCTCTTGGACTTTTGACAGGCTTCAGAAATCATCATGTCCACCTTGATTAAAGTGCCCTGACCTTCACCTTCTGCTGCCACAACTGGCCATTTTAAGGCAGCGTCCTGGTGGATCGAGACAACAGCTTCATCTAATGATACAGCAGAAAGGGAGAAGTCCTTAGAGTCATAAATGTCCAGCGGAGTAACAGAGCTGTCACTGAACTGAATCCAGGTGCTTACTACAGCTTCCTGAAAGGAGAGGGATATGGTTAAAGACAGGGTCTTAAATAAAACAGCTCAACCCATTGCAGCTCATCAATCTCTCAGCTCTGAACAGCTGCTGGAGGAAATGGAAGACAATGGCTCTGTACTGCATTTAAAGCAAACCAAGCTTCAACTGATGGGGCAGAAAATTGGTCACATTTTTCACTGAAGGTTCCACTGTTATCCTTCCTGCAAATGTTTTGCAAAAGAACATATAAAATAATTTATATGGGATGTCTGTAATATCAAAGTACCCATTAACAAGCTACAATTTACATGATTTATAAAGAAAGTCATTCCTGTCATACAAGACCTGAAAGAGACAAACCAGAAAAATTACCAGAGGCACTTGACAGAACACTTATTTTTCTCATGTTCCCCATGCACAGGTGTCACAGGGAGCTGTCAAATTAAACAAGGCATAAATATCTTAGCAGGAATAAAGAGCTACCACAATATCTTGGAAATGGTTGGGAGCAGAAGATTCACCAGAAAGAAAATGACTAACGGAACAATTGCCATTTTGTTGGAGAAAGGTTTGTTTTAAGTAAAACACACTTTATGCTTGAGATAATTAAAAAGTCCATCACATTTCTGTGTCAAGGAGAGGAGGATGGGGATTCTGGTATGTTCTCTACAATAAAAATACAAATGGCCTGGATTTAATTGGACTGTCTTTGTTCTCTGCAGGTAGCACTGTTAGAAGTCATCATTAGAAGCAAACACAAAGCTAGAGGTCAGCTCTCTGCCATTTGAAATCCCATCCAGATGATATAGATATTTACTTCTCCACGTCTCAGTAGCTTTCTTTGCAGGAGATTTCTTTATTTTTTCATTTGCTCTATGTCTTGCCTGTTTAGCCAGCAGACGTGCAGGCAGATTGCCGGAGTGCAACTTCACACAAAACTGAAGTTCTTTTCTTCCCAGACTTAAACCGCAGATGGCCCTAATAACTTTACACTTGGGTACATCAGAACAACTGGGCTGAAAATCACCATCGGGAAAAAACATTGCCACCCTGTTAATGTCCAGTCATAATACAAATTTACAACCTAATATGGTTTTCAATTGGCTACAATTTGTTACGCTATGGTTATAAACAAAGGGAATTGCTACCCTTCTAGTTAAATTTAAAGCTTTTCAATGAAAACAGCAAGGGGCATTTAGCTGTGCAGAAGGTTGGACTATACTGAATATTTGATTTCCAAAGTGCTATCAGCAAGTTCTTGAGGGACTGAAAGAAGAAAAATTAGTTGTGGCACAACAGGAAAGAAGGCAAAGTTCTTGATGGCTCAAACACACTTCAAACAGCTGAAACAGAGCCAGGGTAGCTCAGAAGCTGGGAAGGTTGAACTGTGTAAGAAAATTAAAACAGCTGATCTTTCATTAGAGAAACAACCCTGAAATGGCTGAACAGACAGAAACATAAAGCTGCAGGGCACAGCTTAAATTTATATCATAGAAATCTATAGTAGAGCAAACCCAGGTCTGGGAAAGTAAAGGGTTTGGTTTTTTTAATGGATATGTGTTGAGAGAAAAAGATACATCTCCTCTGGCAATTCAACACCCTGTTGCCTTCCTTATCTCTAAAACAGCAGGACAGCCTCGTGTACCATTGGGGACGTGTGTAAGATACACTTAGTTTTCATCAACCTATGGAATGCAAAAACACCAGCATCATTTCCAGCATATAATACGACAAGCTTGACACCGTCTGCCAGTGGCGCTCTTGTTTGGAGAGCGGAATGAGAAAATAAGTGCAGAATTTTGTACAGTTAAGCTTGGAAATTACAAGGCTTGTGCTTCCTCCCACCTCTGCTGGGGACTTTCATAGTTCCACATCTCTACAAAAGGATTTGCATTACTAAATCCTCTGGCAGTGCTTAATAGCCAAACACAGCACCCCAGGCATTGCAGAGCACCAGGTCTGATTATGGCCCTTACTATGCAAGTAGGTTTTATTCGTGGTAGAACAGCAGCTCTGAGGGATCTGAGGTCTCCATTCCGGCACTGGAAAGGAACACGACGAGCCATATATTCTTCTTTTCTGTCTTCTTCATGCTATCCATATCCTTATTTGATTTTCTTATCCTGACTCCTTTCTGCTTTAACAGCCCACAAGTTGAGGTAGACAACATGGAAGAATTCAGCCCAGATGGCTAGAATTTGACAAAGTTGTAAACAACTTCAAAACAACTTTTATTCTTTATGCTATTTATCCACTATGCTGCATTCCTGGTTTTATGAAGCAGAGATAGAGAAAAATGAAATGGCAGTCAGCTGAAATTTGCAGGCACATATGTGATTTACTATAGATAATAGAGGTGTGCAATAGCTTAGCCATTCTTTTCAACCTGCATTGAGGTTTTTTATTTCCAAGAACTAATTTTTCACAACACAACATTGTCATGCTTATACTACAGACAGTATTAATTAAACGGGAAAGAAAACAAATGAGATAAAGAGGGACAGAATCTCAAATCCTGCCAAAGTATACTGTATCAGCCCAAATATTCTATTTGGCAAGAGATCATCTCCTCTCATTCACTGCTGAAGGCAGAGGAAGGAAGTGAATCTCCCAAATGATTATAAATTCTGAAAAGCTAAAATAAAAAAAAAAAAGAAGAAAGAAAAAAGAAATGATTTAATACCATGTCCTTCAAAGAGCTGTTTCTGCAAATCCTATGTACCGCATCAATAAATCCCCTCTGAATCTCTGACAAGGACCTCCAATTACTATCAGCAGATGAAGATGGATCGGAGCCTTCTTACCTGCAAAGTTGCTGCCCGTTGTCTGATGTCCTCAACACTGAGGTGACAAATGCTTGTATTCATTAATTATCAAGCATAAACAAATAGTTTGAGGGATTATCTGGCCCTCCAGTCTCTTTTGCCTCCACTGTTCCTCTCTCTTTCACATGCACACACACACACGTACTCAGCTGCACTCTCAGAACAAATGAACCACGACTACACATTAGTGCCAGTGTCTTCTAGAGAACAGGATGATTTATATGGTGACTATGATGATGTGAAGTGAGTCAGATAATGTACATTAGATCATGTTAATGACAGCAAAATCCAGTCCAGAGGGGATGATGAAACTGCTTCCCACAAACACTGTTGATTATCAAATATCATGCTTTCTCTAAGTACATAAAAAACTTTCCTTATCAAGACACATTTTGTCTATATTTTCCCTTGTGCCTTTGCTGTTCTCTTCCTCCATTCCAGGTACAACCTACACACTGGCCCAGCATATTGGCCAGTTCTTCTTGGTCTGCTGCTGTCCAAGCACCTTTTCTGGCCTTGAATTCCATTGCTACTTACCAGTCCAAAGATGCCACTTGATAAATCTTCTTGGATAAACTTGCACCTTGCTTTTTGTTAGCAGTTTTATCTCCCTTGTTATACACGTGTTATGTTAGGCGGTTAAAACAAAGGGGCAATTACCAGAAGTAACATGGCACTAATGGAAACCAATAGTCCCCACAGAGCTCTGTATTGCCTGACCTGGAATACTTCAAACCTGCCATACAAGTCACCACAAACACTATGGTTTGCTGGCTATGTCTGTTCTACCTAGATAAAACAAGGAGGCAACTTGAATGCAGGAAGCAGAGCTGGTTTGGAAGCTCAATACAAAGCCCATCGTATGGGGCTATATGATCTAATGAGTCCCACTGTGCTGGGACTTGCATGAGTTGCCTGTGAAAATCTGGGAGCCCTCTAAAGCATTTGATAGCCTGCTTATCTGTGGACAAGGTTCCACTGAGCCCATCTGTAGCATCACAGTCAGTGATTACAGAGTGTCCTTCAATACCTCCTCCAAAAAGCTGGGGTCAGCTTGGTTCCAGAGCATGCTACCTTGTATTCTGAGCCCTTTTAATGGTCTTTATTCACTAAAGCACAAATAAAAATATAAAAATAAAGCCCTCGATTGCTGGGGTCAGCTGCAATAGTCCTGAAGTAAGGCAGGACACCACAGGAAAGAAACGGATGGCTGGATGGCTCTGCAGAAAACAAATACATCCCTCTCTCAAATGAAGGCAAGGGAATACTGCTCTTAGCTTCTATTAGACCAGCTCTGATTGTTCTGTCTGGGGACTTGAATGCTGAAATGGGTTTCCCTAGCAATTTTATCACATGAAATATCAAAGTATTACATGTGCATTTATTTTTAAGCTTGTGGGTTGTGTAGTAAAAATTGGGCTTGATCATTATAATGTGGAAATGAAAGGTAGCCAAGACTCAGATCTTAATTCAAACCATGCATTCCCCTGCCGTGTACTTCTTTCCCTCCCTTTTGTCCAATCTGCTAACGTGACACTTCTTTCCACTGAGAATTTGCTTGTATTTGCAATGGAAGAGTTCAGATTCTTATCTAACAATACATCCTTTCTCCCTTTCCCATGCTGCTTAATTCCCTTGTCATACTTGTGAGCCATTATATTGCTCTGTCAGTTTAAAGAGGATATAAATACAATTTACGTGTAATTTATACTGCTAGAACGGGGTAATGAATCCATGCCATAAAAATACTCCTAATATCTGTTATTTAACTGTGAGATGTCAGTGAACTCCCAGAACTAGTTTGCATGAAGGACATAAGATAAAGCAGGACAGTATTGTGTCAATCCAAAAGGCAGGGACATACAAACAGCTCTAGCTTGTCACCCTGATTCAGGTGGTGCTGAGCACCCTCACCTCCTATCAGAGTGAGAGCTGACAGCTCGGAGGACACTCCCTGAGGTTACAGATGACCTCACAGGGTTAGGTCTTGTCACTGATGTGAACAGGAGCTACACATGTGAAAGAGATTAACTTGGCCTTTACAAAGTCTTAACGTTGCTCTTTTTTCCCTAAGAAAAAGTCTGCAGTTTTCTAGTAGCCAGAGAGATAAATTAATACACACAGCTATTTATGAAAAGCTTTCTCCTTCTTTTATTTTATCCACTCTCCAACTTCAGTTCATTAGACCACATGCAATATCCTACAGTGATGAAAAAAGCTATGATATGACTAAGTTTCCCTGCAGAGCCAGCTGAAATTTAAGAGTCCTTGAAGCTCGCTCAGTTCAGAAAACACTTAAACACTGCAGGTTTTCTTTTATTTACCTTTTAGAGAAGCCTTTAAGATGGCAGTGTTGACTTTAACAACCATCAGCAAGCCAAATGGCACATGTTTCCTACCTGAGCAGATGGACACTAAAAATAGACTGTTCACAGCTACAGCTTCCAAGTTTTTGCAAGATATTTCACCTTTGATACTTAAAAGTTGACCAACATGCATTTATTTTTAGGCACCTAAATAATTTATCCACTTTTCAGTGCCAATGAGCTCCCCATTGATTTAAAGAAACAGGAAGTATGGGCTCAGCATCCCTCAAGGTCACCTCAGGTAATTAGTTGCCCAAATACAGATAAAGGTATCTAACTTAAGGCATCCAAGAAAAAAAAAAAAGCTTATCCTCTTTAGATTGCTAAGTATTTGGAGAAACCGCCAACTTTTCAGGACTTGATGTTTTGGCTGCTGTGTGCTACTTACGCAGACATGGTATGGTCATTATAATTAAGGAACTAATCTAGTAATTATATTCATTGAAAGACAGTTGCAACAAAAATAATAGTTTCATTCCTATGATAGTGGAAGATCTGTAATGGCACACTCTGTATAATGCTTTATGCCATCCATTGCACTATACAGATGTCCTGTTTAATCTGCTGGGGACATCACTGTGCCTGCCAGAGTACCAGTTACCCAAGGACATTTGCTAATCTATGCTGAAACTTGGCTATGGAAGGTGCTAAAGTGGAGCCAAGGAAAACACTTGACTAAGAACACATTGACTGTTTTTTCCATATAACAATGTTGAGACATGCACAATCACTCCTGAGAAAAATAAAACCTTCAGCTATCTTGACTGTTATTTTGTTTTTCAGTTGCATCAGTAAAGTTTGCATGAGTTATTTGGGCCTTTTTGTAAATTTGTTTGAAAGGAAAAAAACACACTTCAATAATGAAGTCCTTGCAACATCCAAGTATGTGCTTAGTTCTGGGCTGCCCTTTTGGAAAAAAACCCTCTTTCAAAAGGGCTTGATTTTCAGAAAATACTCAGTAATTCCCTTCTAAAATTTGAGCTCAGTAAGGATCTCAGCTGGTATTACTCCAAATCATGAGTCACTTCTTGCAAAATTTAGCCACAAGCATTCCTTCATTTGCGTTAATTCTTCTAAGGGCAAGTGTCTTAAATGTTATATCTTCCATTCAGACTGCAAATGAAAGGAAAGATGGATGGGACTCTGTAGGGCACTCCTGTGCTAAGAATATTTCCTTCAATGTATTGTCTGGTGTGAAGTCTACTCCTGTCTTATTTTTTTGGTGATGCAAATACCAAGTCCCTGAGGTCTCTTTTCAACAGCCCTTCCTTGGGCAAGCCCTGTCTACAGGCTGAGGAGGATTTAAGCCTGAGAACAAATGAGTGGCTTTACAGTAAAGCAGGATGTGAACTGCACAGTATGTGGGATTAGCTCAGGCCCCTGGGACGAAGGCACTGCCAAAGTGTCCCTGTACCTATGCACTGTGCCCAGGTTCCACAGTGACCTGGCATGACCAGGATGAGGACTGCAAACACCCACAGTGCTTGAGGAATGGACCCTCACAAATTCCCCACAGTGAGGGGTGATGCTCCCAGCAAAGCCTTCAGTTGGGAAGCCGGCAGGACACTGCTCTTACTCCTGGTTGAAGAGGAGGTGGTGGGAAGACAAGCAGAAGGGATGGGCAGGCTCCAGACTAGAGGAGCTGGGAGGAGAAGCAGAGACTGAAGTGGGACTCCACAAGAACACGCTGCTCTGTGTTTGCATGAAACTGGGACAGAAGACGCTGTGCATAGGAGTGGGAAAAACTGACAAACTTGTGATTGCTACTAAGCAACCAGATTTCCCTGGGTGTTCCAGATCCTGCTGTAGAGAAGGTTTTCCACTGCCTTCTAATAAAGTCTAGGTCCCTTTTTTTTTCTCAGATGGAGTCTGGAGAAGAAACAACAGATTTTAAACTGCTTTTACTGAGAAAAATTGCTTGATTTTCTCCTGCCTCCTGTTTTACCAGTCAGTACCTTCAGTGAACATGATGCAGTAGCGCTATCTGTAGGACCAGGAAGAGGACAGGAGGGACAGCATCATCCCACGCTGCCCAGCAGTACCAGAAGCAGAAGCCATTGCTCTGAATGACAGCCTGATCTGTCCAGTCACTTCTGTGTCAGAAACGTGCCACTGAGGAAATGGAAATTGTCTCGCAAAAGAACATCAGCTTCAACAAAATATTTCACTAAAATTGTTCCATAACACAGATGCTGTGAAAAATAATTTCAAAACAAATCACGTTTACACATTTTTACTCTTTTCCATTATTTCATAACTTGCCAATTGTAGTGACATATAATGACACATCATATCATATTGCCATGCCATAACACAATGGGAGATGTCACGTTGTGCACTACTAAAATGCCCTGTCATAATCTGCCATAACCTGATGTTGATAAATATCTTTGCATACTCAGGACACATCACCTATAAATCTGAGAAGCTGACAATATATCTGTGCAACCTTTCCAGATTCACAAGCTCTTTTATCTGCAATCAAAGCCATGATTCTTCCAAGATACTGCAGGACAAATGGTGCTCTGTCCTACATAACAGAATTGGGTTAGACATGCTTTAGCTTTTGCTTTTACAGTCTTTGTCTGAAGACAATATGTCAGACATGGTTTCTAAGCCCCGGAGAAGGGTATAAATGGGTTAATTACATAAGGTTCTTATGTTTACAGGATGCAGTAAATGGAACAGATGGGCAGCATGTCCTTCTAGCTTGGACATTTTCCTGTCACTAAGTTATAAAACAATCTAAATTATTTTTATGTTCCAGAAAATTAGGTAGCAATAATCATGAAAATGGGCCATAAAACTTGACTTGAGACCTCTCCCTATCTGTGTGAGATGAAATACAGCTTCTGTGAGAAGAGTAGCTGTGGACAGAGTTAATTGCATGGTCCCCAGTCCCCCTCTTCAAATGAGCAGACTAAAAGAGCAATGAACACACAACTTGTTCCACTGCTACGGACCCTTGTTTTTAGTCTGTTCCAGAGCAACTATTTGCCTTGGTGTGGTCGTACTTTCCAGTCTTCTTTTCCAAGCGGGTTGTGACCTGAAACATACTGCTTCAAAGACCCCCTTTACAGAGATGGAAATCTGATGACTTAAATTATGTAGGAACAATGCAGTGATACCCTAATGAACTGAATGGTGAACCCCCTAAAATCCACTGAAAATAAAAGGAGAGAGGAGCCTGGCAGTCTTCTGTGACTGTATTTGGCTATCTTCTGCCTCTATTTTATAGCTCTTCAAAATACTAAACTGTTGTGACACACAGAGCTTGGTGCTCTCTGGCATGGAAAACAAGGGCATGCTCATATAGCAAACAAGGATCACTGTCCAAAGACAGCCTGTGTTGTGAAAATAACAGATGTTGCACCATTTCAAGAAAGGGTATTAAAAATTTAAATAATATAAACTTCAGTGTAGTCAGAACTTTTACTGCAGATGTAGTCCATATTTGAAGGGAAGAAATGAAAAGACAATTTCAGAGTACCTCTAGAGGAAAGCAATTGACACGGACACGTACTACACCAATACTTTAAAGCCTAACTTCTAAACTTGTTATGAATTGTCATTCACACTTCACATGGAGAAAATACTGCCCCATCCTAAAAGGCAACAATAGTAAATATGGAGGGTACACTACCTGCTTAGGAGTATGAAGCAGCTCTTGGGCAACGGTTGTAGCCACAATAGCCCGACTACTTGCAGCGCTTGGCTGAAGAAAGAGTGAAAGCCCAGCCACCAGCTGCACTCCAAGGTCTGTTATGGTCACTTTGTCATCTAACACAGTCACTGTCTTCTCTGCCAGGATGGAGTCAGACAGAGGAGACAAAACCTTTGGAGAAACACAAAAGAATCAACTTAGGAAAAGGCCGATCAATTAAAATGACCTTTCTTAAGGTCATCATCCCTTCTTGTCTCCAAAGCTTTATGCATAGAAATGAAATGGCAGAGCACACTGAAAAAGCAGTCTGATTTCATTAGCTGGCTCGGAAAAACATTCAGTAGAGAGGTTACAGCTAAGAACATCCAATACTGAGAGCTGTACTCTCTCAGTTGTGTTCTTCCCTGTTATTCTGTGTCCAGTATGGATGAGCTCATCACATTTACTTCCCAACCATTTCAAAGAGAGGTGAGCAACATCTAGGATTTATCCTTCACTTCTTTGCCTAGAAATTCTCATTTCTCTATCTTTTCTGTATCTGATGGAACATCAAGGTAGTAGGATAACCTTCCTTTTAATGAAACTAAGGGCCATACTGCTATCTTTAGGGAACTAAGGATAGCTAGTTCACGCACATACTGTCTTCTCCACCTTCCCCATCTCATATCTACAGCTGAGATCAGCGATTTTTTCATTTGTGCATTGGCTTAGTAAGGATTCAGCTGGGACAGAACTGGGATATGGTGTTGGCTGCTTGTGCCTCTCAGCGTCATTAACCAGGTTGGGTTTTTTCCCCCCTGAATTAATGTTTAAAAAAGTCAAAAGAAACTTGACACAATCTAAAGATCTCTGTCTCAAAAAGTCAAAATGGGGCGCATCAGCTGACTGGTGGTAGCCTGCATCCACATTGGGCAAGAACTCTGACTTCTCACTGAACCTGGAAGTGCTGCCTCTCCTAAACATCTCTGAAGGCTCTATGGCTTCCAGCTCTTGGCCATGCTGCATGCCTCGGACCACATCTGGCTTGCGTCAATGTTGTTGCATTAATGCTGTGTGTGACACTCTAGAAGGTTGCCAGAATGTAATGAGAAATTATCATGCTTCAAGACAGCAGACAATTGCTATTTATGCCCCCACACAGGTTCCCTATGAGAATGGCAGAATGTGGTAGTTTAGAGCACAGTACCTGCATCGTTGTCATTCCTACTTCCCGACCGATCAAAATCCTGCCTTCCTGCAGCTTGGCAATGTGAGGATCCTCCAGTTTCATAAAATCCATCACCAGGTCCGTAATGTCAAACTGCCAATCTGAGCCCAGTAAGTAGTTCAGCTGACCCCAAGGGCTAGAATCCTCAGCTACAAATTGGGTGAGGACTCGCACCATAGCATGCTGGTACTGCAGAGTGCATCCTCTTCCTTTCCGTTCATCTTCATCCTCATCATCACTGTCTCTGGTTGGTCTTTTTTCATAAGAAATTGAAACATAAAGAAATGTTTTCAAGAACATTAGTGAAAACCTTAGAATGCTAACCCCCTTAAATAGCAGCCCTCCCTTCTATTTTGTTGGATCAATGGTGATTCATGGCTACCTAGCATGGGGACAGCCTGAACAACAGCAACACTCTAAGTGGTTCCTACTAAAGCACCAGACCATGCTCTGTTGCACAGGACAGACACACGCACAGAAGAAAAATTCCCACAACTTTAAAAAGCTTTATTATATCTGCAGATAACGGGTGCAAAGCTGGGGATTACAGTACTGCTGTTCCTCAGGGAAAGATGCTGCCTTTTGGGTGCAGGTGCTGCAGCTGTTCTTGCTGAGAGTTAAAATAAACTCCATTCATTTTACAAAAATATCCAAAAAAATTAGCAACTCAAACCCACCTTTTGTTGGAAACAACAGGGACTCGCCAGCCTTTGATCTGGCTCAGTTCTGTGTCCGAAATGTCAATTTGAAGAGGCAGGCGTGGAACCCAGACTGTGATTTGCAGAGGAGCACTCAGATACTGATACGTGAAGTTCACAAGTGCATTCACCTTGCCTTTCATTTCTTTGCCATTGACAAAAACATAGTCACATCTGTCAGAAACCTAAGGGGGAAGAAGAGAGAGAGAAAAAAGAAAAGGTAATCACTGCAACAAAATGAGCTCAAAGAGTAACCCTGGCATCTCAGAAACAAAAACAAACAAAAAAGGCTCCCTTCTCTTTATGAATGTTAATGATGGCCTTTTACAATGGCAGCAGCTGAACACAAAAATCCATTGGCTCAGGAGGCATAATTATGCTGGAGATGCCTGAAGACTGCGTACTATTTATGAAGCTGGTGGTTGACTTTTGGTTTGTTATGCAGTGAGCCACCAGCTGATCGCAGTGCTGTGGAATTCATAATGAGCAAGGCTCCTTCACAGCTTGGTCAAGAGAAACCCAACAAACCAAAACAGGTCTCAATGGAGGCAAGCAGCAAATCAAAGCTCTACCTCGATGAGCACATTCATCAGGGGGTGATGCTGCTTTCAGTCTTCAAGACAAAGCTGGCTCTGGAGTGGATTTCATCCACCGAAGAGTAACAGAAGCCTACTCATTTCCTCCACAATAAACATTATCTGTTTATAAATGTTTACATTTTGATTAAAGCTGTAAAGTACTTCTAAACACTGCAGTGGATTTATCATTAACATGTAAATGCTGTCCTGAAATATAAGCATGCATTATCATAGTCATGTAAGAGTTATATCACTAATCACTTCTTTAATCAATGTTGTAATTTACAGACCATTGAGTTTTCTCATTTATTACGTTACTGAGTACTAGTGATAAAATCACTCCTGAATATATAAATCATTAAGAGGGATGCAGATAGTATGAAGTGACTCCATGTGATAAAGTCATTGTCATATCTATTCCTAAAGGTGTCATAAATGTCTAGGGAAATCCTGTGGCACATTAATCATACATTAAGTGGCTAGCAATGGGAGCTGTTACCTTACTAAATGAGCTGCCATGTCTGCAGAAATTAACAGTAAACCCAGCAGATCTCTTCAACTCCTCTTCCTGCTCCCATCCCGTCAGAATTCTGTTTCATCACCCATAATGAGTATCATTAGTGGTGGCAATGTGTCTCCCCACCTGAACATATATTTATATTATCATCTGTTCCTTTTTATCCCCACTCCCATTCCGGACACCATTTTATTCAAATGAAGATTATCAGCTAGAAATGCTGATGGCCCCAGTCTAATCAAACAGATGGGTGTCCTCTGTGACCACAGACACAGGAGCTAAACTGTTCCCAGTTTGATATACACATCCCATTTGTATCCTCTCTCAGGTTTAGGCACTGCTCACACTCTGGTAAAATATTTGATGGTGAGATTGCAAAAGGAAATTTCAGAGAACACAATACAAATATTTCTATGACTCATTCCCTAAGTGGGTTACCCTGTAACTGGGCTCTGTTGACTGAAAACAGTACAAAGTACTACCATACCTGACCCATCTGTCTGTTTAGGCTTCTCTCTCAGACCATTGAATATAGGTTTAAAAGTCTGAAGGTGGCAGAAATGTCTTCATTTTCTCACTATGAATGGCATGCCCTATTTTTACATGTATTAAATTGAATGGCAATACAGAAAAGGATTTAGTTCACACTAGGCTGTTTCAGAGTGACTATTTGATCTAATCTAAAAGTACTATGCAGCAGAGCTGCATAATATAACATATAATACCATGCAGTGATTCAGAACTCTTCCCTAGATGGGCTGCTCTTGCTTTCTATGGTGCCATTGCATCATCTTCACCCAGGGAGAGGAAGCATCATGAAAATGTTTCTCATGAAAACAACTCTAACTGCACAGGTGAGCAAGGGCTACATGTCAGGAGTCACCACCTTGGCTTCCTGAGCACAGAGACATTCCTGCCCGGAGCAGTACCCAGCTGCTAGGACATACTGGGAGCATTCAGCTCCCGTATTTGAGCTACTGATGTGTGGCAGAAATGTCTTCATTTTCTCACTATGAATGGCATGCCCTATTTTTACATGTATTAAATTGAATGGCAATACAGAAAAGGATTTAGTTCACACTAGGCTGTTTCAGAGTGACTATTTGATCTAATCTAAAAGTACTATGCAGCAGAGCTGCATAATATAACATATAATACCATGCAGTGATTCAGAACTCTTCCCTAGATGGGCTGCTCTTGCTTTCTATGGTGCCATTGCATCATCTTCACCCAGGGAGAGGAAGCATCATGAAAATGTTTCTCATGAAAACAACTCTAACTGCACAGGTGAGCAAGGGCTACATGTCAGGAGTCACCACCTTGGCTTCCTGAGCACAGAGACATTCCTGCCCGGAGCAGTACCCAGCTGCTAGGACATACTGGGAGCATTCAGCTCCTGTATTTGAGCTACTGATGTCTAACACAAGCCCGTTATCTCGCTGCTGTCTCAGCTGCATGGAAACTGGAATGGCCAGTGGGTGACTCCCCCCTCTCAATGTCTGGCCGTGTTATTACACCTCTCCCTACAGCTGCCCGTGTCTCTCCACCAGAGATGGAGACCCTGCAAAATATCTTAGACCAGATACCTAATTCTAGATGGCTGAAGTTAAAAGGAGTACACATCTAAACAATACACCGCATACAAATGTTACCTATGGCACAACCTGATGTTCAGGACACAAGGAAGTCCTGGCTTACACAGACTCTAACTTCTGTCTCTCTCAGTAGCCTCAGGAAAGCCAATTCGACTCTTTCTGTCCATTTTCCCCACTTCCCCATTTTCCATTCTTCAGCCCTGTATTCCCTCAAGAAGAACCTTTTGGCAGCCTTGTCAATAAGATTTAATTCTGCTTGAAGGAGAAGCCATTGCCACCCTGAAACTGGTTCCATCCTCTTAATTTCTACGGACTTGATCTCCAAGACAAACGAATGAACTTTCTTAGTGGTACAAGTTGCTTGTTTATGCACAGAGTAAACCACATGCACGTGCTGATAAAAGATTTCTGATAACATGCTCAGTTTCAGACTGACCAGGTCTGGTTTAGATGTACGATGTAATATTATCTAAAGCCCAATGTTGTCAGTAGCAGAACAAATGCGACTGCCAAGGAAAAAACACAATAACAATAGTAGCAAAACTGCAATTCCTAAATGGTTCTGGGCTGAGATCCAATCTCCATCTGTATTTGTAAAGCTGCTATATGCCTTCATGGGTATGCGACAAACAAATGGCTAAACAAATATACACAGCATTCTAAGGAGGTGGCTGTTGTAGCTACCACACAGCCTTTAAAATTGCTACAGGACAATATTTATTACTGGACATGCATCAGCAATAGTGGCAGATCTTTATGAGCTGCATTGAGAAAAACATTACTCTTTTCACAAAGTACAAGCATTGCTAATGTCCTTACACATGCTCTTTATTCTGTTCCTGTATTACTGATAAAGAGGTAGCACACAGAAAGTACAGGAGGAGAAAAGCTTATACTGGATTGTATTACTGTATGCATTTTAACTATTGTGCTTTCAGGTATCCATTCTTGAAACAACATTGATTGTTTTTGACAAAGAAAGGCAACAGACTTCCCAACTAGTGCTGTACAGGAGATGAAAGGGAGAAGGGAACAGTATCTCTGTGTATAATTCACAATATGTGTGTGCTCTCCGGATGTACGGGATTAAGGATCCTTTTCAAGAAACATTCAATTAAAGCTATTCCATAGTCTACAGCTCCTGTAAGCAACACACCTCAGCTAAGCTTAGCTATAGCAGGCTAAGCACAATGAGAGCAAGTGGGCTTGCTTCCCTTGCCCTTGTCTCACACAGTGTCACTTAAAAAATAAAAAAAAAAGGATTTCTCAGCCTCTGAGAACAAATCCAGACGTACTGATTCTGCTACAGTTTACAACATCAGCAAGCCATGTGTAAGGTCTGATTTGCTAAGCAGACACCTCTCACAAAAAAGGGTAGGGGTTATATGGTGCAACAACAGACCCCCCTAGCTCAGATTAACTGAGATGGAAATAATATCACAGTCAACGTGGTTTTGGAGTTATTCAAAGTAGACTTGGTAAAACTGTTTTGATCTTTTCACATGTGGGGTTAAGAGAGATGGAAACACAAGACTGGCATGGACAACCTAAACCACTGTTGCATGGAATCACAGAGGAAGAATGGAAAGGAGATGAAAAAGAGTAATAAATTAAACTGGATCATATTAGAATTCAAATTCTTTTTAATTAAAAGAGTATATTTGTTTAAGCATTTTTCATAGATAAAAGTATCTCTCTGTTTCCCTCCAGGGTTTGCAATGCTCCTGGAAGGTCACTGAACAGTACAATGACTGGCTCTCATCTGTGAGTCCTGCCCACAGGACCTTAAGGAAGTTCCTAATAGAGGCTGGAGACTCTGTGCGCAGCCCTCTGTCTCTCATCTCCTGTAGTATTTATGCTTTTACTATGAAAGCATTTTTCCCCTGAAAGTGCTTTTTATCTTTGGAATCAGAAGTGAGAGAGGATGAAGGGAAAGCGTGCTTAGCCACCACCTTTAAGTGATAGGTTTTTTTGTTTTTTTTTCCCATTCTGCGTAGCAGATCAGCAAGAAGTTTTCCATTTTAAAGAGCTTTCTGATGCTACTTCAGCAGTTTCTTTCATTATTAAGCTGCATTCAGCTACTTCCCCACTTTTTTTTCCCTATTTTTCTAACTTCTCTCTCCAGATTAAAACTAAAATAAAGAAGCTAGACAGCAAAAGGCAGGGCTAAGCACAATTCTCTAGAGATTTCTTCTTTGTCTTTCTTCTTTCTGGCATTATATTTTTGTAGCTCTTTGTAACAAAGGCCACTGCCTTTCCAAATGACTTGGATAGATTCTCTCTGGAACAAATCACATTTTATTGAGCTGACAGAGAAAACTACTGCTTGGAAATCAAGAGAGAGTCAGTCCTGAATCACTACCTATGGCACTATGTGACTTTGTGATCTGGGGAGCGAATGTACCTTTCCACCTGGCAATGCACAGTACCTGCAGTGAATATTAAGGAGATTCCTAGTACCATTACCAGTCAAATGCAAATCCTCTGCATCTTCT